TCACAGAGAACATACTATACTACATTTGAACCAAATTTCACTTGGATAAACAGCATCACAGGATATAGTTCTTTAGGTTGTTATATAATATATAGCAGTAGTTACAAGTGTGCCACTGCATGTGTAGACTAAAGTGTGTAATAAGTCACAAAGAAAATATGTGCAAAACAAGGTTGCCACCTCTTAGTCATGAGGAATCTTATATACAGCATTACTATGCTGTAACACTGTGTTTTGTTATTCATGCATTCACTCTATTGAAAGAAATGATTGTGTAGTAAACTTAGGGTCTCTTTAGAAATGTAATAGCTCTTTGGATTCATACTTTTCTCTAAAACAAATAATACTTCCCTCCCTTCTTGTTATCATTCATTTAGAATCCAGGAAAGCTTCTGCAATGAGAAAAATCTTGAATAATCTTTAATTACTATTCGCTGTTTGCATTTTTATTCAAAACATGGAACACACAGTGTAGTGTCTTAGTGACTGCTCAGTCATGGTCACATCTTGACTTGTTGACCTTTTCAAAGGAATAACGTTTCAGGCTGGTTTTGATTGAACTCTCTGACTCTAACTGATAAAGTAAATAAATAAAGTCTAAACAGTGGGTGGATGGTTATTGCATGGGAGTAAAGCGAGTAAGTACTTTAAACAAGTAAGTTGATTTTAAAGGCATGTCAGTATTTCTATTATATGATGTGTTTTACCTTACTATAGTTCACACAAAGCTATTTACTTTTGGAGACTATCATTTTAAAGGACATACAGATTAAACAGTAAAAAAACCAAACAAAAAAAAACCCCCAAAACGTTTGAATTATTTCCATTTAACACATTTAACGGCAAGTGAAAAAATCCTAAAATTTAATGCAAGACTTTATACAAGTAACAGACATTACATACTCTATTTGAAAGATTTTTTGCTGGTTATATTCTGTACATACACGTCACACGGGAGTTAAAAGATTTTTTCTCAGCAATGTATTTGAAAGAGTTTCTACTTTTTTGTTGGCTGTTTTTTGTTTTTTGTCTTTTTAACTACCTAGCCATAATTTGCCTGCTTAAAAACATTAATACCCCAACCCTGAAAGTGCTTGTCCCCTTAACTATTTCATAAGCATCATTTCAGCCAATTACATTTATCCACAAATTCACACAACCGTTATCTTTATTTTCATTGGCTACAATATGCTGCCAGTCACTGACGCAATGGCCTTTCGCCAACCAATGGTAAGGTAGTTTCTTTGTAAAGGATGAGCAACAGGCGACTACCGAGTGGGGCAACAGAAAAGAGTTTATCGTTTGTTATTACACAGCAGTACTTGTCTGAAGCTTTTATGGTTTAGTTTAGCCTAATTTTGAACAAGTGGTAGTTGCCAACGGTAACTGTATATACGTTGTTTCTATAGAGTAACCCGGTTTATTCGAGGTCGTGGCATGGATGAGGTACGGCCTACCAGTGGTGCACAAGCCCACGGGCTGGTGCCGCTGTTTCCTCCTGGGCTGCAGGCTATCTATGGGGAATGTCGGCGACTTTATCCCGAGCAGGCAAACCCGCTTCAAGTAACAGCTATTGTAAAATATTGGTAAGTAACCCATGTTGCTGTTGCTCGTCTGACATGCGTGCGGGCATTATATTTGTACAATATATTTAATCTAATAATAGCTAAATATTAGCCCAGAACTAGTTTAGCTTCCAAGCTAACATTGTAGCTAACCCAACATCCAGAAGCCATACTGTAGTTACTGTTATTCGGAAAGTTTGAGAATGTCTCTTCTAAGCCATACTGGCTTAAATCCAGCTTTTGAAATGTCTCTCACCACGTTTACACGTATAAATGACTTCCATTGTAACCCAGATGTCTTTACATTGGGGTGTCTACTCACAACAATAACAAAACTGTACATGGTTCTCATTCTTTGCTTCTCATAGGCTCGGTGGACCAGATCCGCTAGACTACATCAGTATGTATAGAAACGTAGGCTGTCCAGCTCAGGACGTCCAGGAGCATTGGCACTATGTGAGCTTTGGACTCAGTGACCTGTATGGGGATAACCGTGTTCATGAGTAAGTACTGTGTCAGTAACACAAATCTTGGTTTTTAAACGCCCCTCTGTGTGACCGTTTATTGAATGTGGGAAGTCATTTTGACCCATACAATATTTTAGTTTTCAGCCCTTTACTAAATGTCCCCTCCTGACCAACTGTGAACTCTGAATAGTTCGTTCATCTCAATAAGTATTTGGCTTTTCACAGCCCTCATGCATATACAAATAACACAAAAGTATAAGTGCTGACATTTTGTCAGTCCATTTTCTCATAAAGTTTGTTTGTCAGATTTACAGGGCCAGATGGACCAAGTGGGTTTGGCTTTGAGCTCACTTTTAGACTCAAAAGAGAGGTGGGGGAGACCGCACCTCCAACATGGCCAGCTGAGCTAATGCAAGGTTTGGCTCGCTATGTCTTCCAGTCAGGTAAGGGCACAAAGCAGTTCTGCAATTTATAAAAATGTTTGCATGGATAAAGGTCATATTAAAAGACAATCAAACAAAAGAATTGGAAGAGGTCAAAAACTTTATTGTGGGTAGTTTTGCAGCAAAAATATTTGTAGTAGTGCAGTAGCAAAGGGCTGATACAAGAGACAACCATTCATTTCATGCTAACATTCATGCTTAGGGCACCGCCATGCTGCCATCTTAAACAACAGAAACAAACTATATTAAGTTGTGATAATTCATCAAATTGAATGCCTTTCAGACTAAAAATAAATTTATTTTCATAAATAAATTTTGTTTTATTTTTGTTGATTTAAACATTGTATGGAAAATAACTCAGTACTCAGCAAAAGACTGGTTAAGTGGTTAAAAAAATAAATAGATCGTTGTACTGTGATGTCATAATTTTATTTTGACGTGGGTGCTGTCTTTTGGGATATCTTCTCCATTCATAGAGCACCAGGTGTCACTCAAAGAGAATGGGAATAACGTTACTGTTATACTATTCCTTTCACTATTACCATATCTCAAACCAGTGTAGCGTCTGTGGGAGATTTTTAGACTGATGTGTTTCGCCTCTTTCAGACATGCATACCCTTCCATTACCGTAATCTGATAGCGTCATGTTGGCTTCATATATGAATGTGCACCCTGGTCAGTTCGCCATGAAGATTCAAACTGCAGGCTTACTGCAGATCAAGTTAAGTTTATGTATTGTGGACATGACACAGTCTAAATTGTGAGTTGCATTAACACGCACAAGGTTATGACTGTGCATGTTGCTGCAGTTAATACCTTTTAGAACTTTCAGCAAAGATCAAAACATACATTTTTGTTGCATTTTTGCTACATTCTATCTAGATGATACATTTCTGGTCAGATCAATGTGCAAGAGTTTGAAATAGCCGCTGGAGCCTTGTACAGTGGACAAAGAGCAAAGATGGCTGGAACTGAACCACCAACCTTTCACTTGCCACTGCACTGTGGGGCTGATATCCTGGTTCTCTTATTACTGATCTGAATAAACAGTATCAAGACAGCCACTGAAACAGAAAGGTAAAGTTATTCCCGAAAGAGGGGATAGCTTGTTAAAAGAAATGCATATCATGCCTCTAGCAGTGTTCCAGAGATTTGAAGAATCTACGCAATGGTGCACTGATACTGGTTGGTGGCACATGGTGGCCCAAAATCTGACAGTTTGCTGTTTTGTTTTAGTTTTTTTTTCCATTTTGCAGCCATCTGTAAATTCTTGGTCATTCACTTAAAAATTTGTAACACAGTGTACTTATTTGTCACACGTTGTTTGTGGTCTAGCAAATGATTTAACTGCAAAGTTTTAATGTGATAACTCTCTATTGGCCAAGCAAAAACATGGTGGTGTGCCAAAGAATGTGTTCTTTGTAAAGGTAGCTTGAAATCCCAGTGATGCATGTAAACAAGCTTAACTAGAGGAGTCTGCTCTAGCTACAACACACATTTATGTGTGTTGTAGCTCTGGGTATTGAAAGGACATCTAATTTCCCTTTTGTTATCTTTTGCTGTTTTTAGTAGGATTGTTTTCACAAGTTACAAACAAGACAGTTGTGGTAGTGTGAATATATGTACTCTGCATGGGTGTATACACTGTTGCTAAGCTCCTTTGAATCCAAAATTTGTGTAAATAATGTAATTCGATAGACAAGAAGGGAGCATGCAGAAAGAGAAGACTTTTTACTCCAGACTCACCTCTACTCAGTCCTTCTCTGCTTTCCAGCTGGGGTCAATTTGTGTGTGGGTGGGCTAGGCCCCTAAGCTAAACGAGTGCTGATTCCTGGCCATCTACCCCCCTCTCGTTTCTCCTGAAGCAAGTCTGGCGTGGGCGCGTGTTACCTCGCAAACAGTCAGATTAGCTTCTACGGAAAAGTAGTTTTTATGGTTTTCTTTCCATATTTGGGTCTCATTTTGACTGTTTTTCCTCTTACTCATGCTACCTCTTTTTCTGATCTGCCTCCCCTCTTCTCATGTTGCTGGACCATTCCGTCAATGTTTATGTACAGTCAGATGATGAAATGTAGGATTGTTTGAGCAGCCATGACAGGGTGTCTGCTAGACAAATTATAATCCCATGATTTGTTTTTATTTTAAAAAATAATGTATTTTTTTTCTCTTCACTCATGCAGAAAACACATTTTGTAGTGGTGACCATGTATCGTGGCACAGTCCACTAGACAACAGTGAATCTCGTATCCAGCATATGTTGCTTACAGAAGACCCACAGATGCAACCGGTTCAGACGCCATTTGGCACAGTGAGTTTTCTCCAGGTGAGTTTTTAATGTCACTTGTCACTAGTGTAATCCACTTGACAGTAGGCTCAAAATGATTTTGTGTTGAGCTAATTAATGTAAGATTTGAGGTATTGCGTTTGTGTCTCTTTGAGTAGGTTTTTGCCTATGCTGGATTATGCAACCTATGTAAAAATTGTGTTGTGAAGTCCTTCAAAAGTCCAACAGCAGAGGATAGCGGTGACTGTAGCTCAGGGGGTAGATCAGGTCATTTACTAATCAGAAGGTTGGTGGTTCGACTGGCTGTTCCAGTCTGCATGCCAAATATCCTTGGGCAAGATGCTAACCTCAAGTTGCTCTCAGATGCATCGGATTGAAAATGAATGTCTGTGAATGTTAGCTAGAAAGCACTTCCATGTGCTTGTGTGAATGGGTGAATGAGGAAAGTTGTATAAAGGGCTTTGAGTGCTCAGGCAGAGTAGAAATGGGCTATATAAGAACCAGTCCATTTACATTTTACATAGCTTAATGTCGATGATGCTGTTCATGGCTCACATAGTTGTTGGCTTAAAAGTGGCAGCAGAGTTCAGGTTGAACAGGAGAAGCGCAGAAATCAAAGATTAAAAAAAAAAGCCACAGACAGGTGGCTACAATGGATGCTTTTTATTCTTTTGTTTTTTTAGCTGATATAACTGTGTTTTATGGCTGAAGGACCAACAACGAAGAGTAGCTTGCAGACCTGTTGTTTGCGACACTGCCCCCTTGTGACGGTAAACGGCTGCAACAGTTGACTGTAGGCAAATGAGGAGAGGAACGCGGTATCAAAAATCCATCTTGAATTGTCAGATGATATTTTGGCATTTATTCAATATTATGTAATGTTACCCAATATTAATAAAATAGGTATGGGGTGTCTTACAACAGTTGGTGTAAAAACCATAAAATATGTGTCTCGTAGATTGTGGGAGTATGTACAGAGGAGCTGCAGGCGGCCCAACAGTGGAATGGACAGGGTATCCTGGAGCTGATGCGTGGAGTCAGAGTGTGAGTAGAACTGTGTAGCAGGTGATCTGGTCAAAGCTAGTTTTACTTTTTATTCTGTTGCTTAGCTTGGATTTACACGTAGGTGTTGATTAGTCAAACCTGCGTGTCATTTTTGTGTAGAACTCTCATGAAAGTCATCATTTGAAGTGGAAAGCATAACTTGACTTAAGCATTACACACATATTTTTTCCCTTTTTAGTGCACTCCATATCTGGCGGATAAAATCGAAATGATTTACCTGCTCAGTCACAGTATTTTTCTCTTGTTTTTCTGTCTTTCCTTTTTTTTTTACAGTTGCCTGTAAATGGTCAATCAACTTGTAGGAACTGAGTTGAATAGAAAACACCATTATGTGAATGCCACTTTGTGCTCAGTTTGAGTACATTGTGAGCAGCAAGTGAGGAGCATAGTTACTAGTTAATTTATTAACTTGGTGTGTTTAACTTGAAGTTAATGCTGACCTGAACTAATGGTGATGCTTTTCCTGTGCACAGAGCCGGTGGCCCCTGGCTAATCACTGACATGAGGAGAGGAGAGACCATTTTTGAAATTGATCCACAGCTACAAGTAAGCTTTACTCAATTCTGCACCATGTTGCTTTTATACAGTATGACATAAAGAGGCATTTTTATGGTCTTTAATGATTTATTTATTTTGTGTTCTGTTTTTGGAAACATTTGTCATCGAAACTTAAGCATGATCAAAATCTACTGTTTTATATTTCTTTTAACTCTTCTGTAAAGAGTTAAGCTTAGTGTGACTCAAACGAAACCTGTTGCCACGCTATAGAAGATTAGAACAAGTAGCACTGTCTTGTGTCCTGTGGCTCTAGAGCAGGGATGTCAAACTCACTGTTGGGTAGACTCTGGCCCCCTGGGGGGCCAATATGTTTGGCTCGCCTTATCTACAGAAAGCATACAATAGGGTGTGAGCAGAGAAACTGTGGTACTGTGTCAGGTTGTCAGCAGAGGAGAAGTATTTGAGGGTAGTGCAGGACATTTATGAAGACAATGAGACAGGGGTGAGGTGTGCAGTAGGAGTGATAGATGGGTTCAAGAGACCCACTCTGTTGGTGGAGAGGTAGTGGCCCTAACAAAAAGACAAGGGGCTGAACTGGAGGTAGGAGACCTGAGCATGCAAAGATTTTCTTTGAGCGTGACCAGAAATGAGCATATAAGAGCAGTTTCAAGACAAAGTTAGTGAGGCAACGAGATGGTTTGGACATGTGCTGAGGCGGGATAGTGGATGTATTGGACAAAGGATTTTAAATATATAGCTGGCAGGCAGTAGGAAAATGGGAAGACCACAGAGAAGGTTAATGGATGTAGTGAAGGAGGACATGCAGAGGGTTGGTGTGACAAAGGAAGATGCTAGTGATAGGGTGAGATGTTGGTAGATGGTCGTTGTGGCGGCCCCTAAAGGGAGCAGCCAAAAGAAGTAGTAGTGGTTGAAAAGAAACCATTTGAAGAGCTAATTGGTCCTGGTAAATGATTTGTTGATATTGGAAGCGAAATCTTCTACAAAGCACTTTAAAGGGAACCTTTTCTTCATTGATATTATTGTTTTTGGTTTGTTTTGCTGTCACAAGTTTTATCACCTCTTTTTTGCCTGTAGATATTTATGCATCGTTTTCATTTCTGAAGAAGTTGACGTTGTGTTTTATGTGTGCTTGTATTGACAATTTGTGTATATTTCTTGCCTATCTAAGCAGGAGAGAGTGGACCAGGGTATCGAGACAGAAGGCTCGAACCTGAGTGGGGTCAGCGCCAAGTGTGTGTGGGACGATCTGAGTCGGCCGCCAGAGGATGAGGAGGACAGTCGATCAATCTGCATTGGATCACAGCCACGCAGGCTCTCAGACAAAGGTATGCCAGCTTCCAAAGAAGCGCATACGATAGATACTCAAGCTGAGCAGAAATGCCTAACCTAATGAAATAATACTTGTTTCTGTCTTTGTTTGTGGGCTGACAGACACAGAGCAGATTAGGGAGACTCTGAGAAAAGGACTGGAGTTTAACAGCAAAGCAGCCCTACCACCTATCAACAGCCAGAAACAGAGCCACGAGAGACCGCAGTGAGTGTTCCTCCTACACTCCAGCACTCACAATCTTAACATGGGTTCAGCTCAGCACAAGGGTTGCGCCAGGATAACTCCCTCCCTCTTGTGCTGTGACTCAAATCCCCAGTGACATCTGAACTATCATCATCGTTCTTTCTTAGCTACCAGCATATTATGTTGCTGTGTTGCTATTCTGTTGCTGCTTTTCTGTGGAAGTTTGGGTCTTCTGCTGTATCAGGTAATTGCTTCATGAAAGGAGTTGCGAAATCTGTTTGTGTGCGTGCGCACGTGTGTGTGTGTGCGTGTGTGTGTGTGTGCGTGCGCACGTGTGTGTGTGTGTGCGTGAGCCAAAAAGCTGCCTTTCCCTTCTTAGTTGTTTTCTAACAGACTCATCAGTGAACATACCATTTTCTGCTTCCTCACTGAGATTATTTTCTTCTTCTTTCTGTGTTTATCAGGAGTCGAAAGGACAGTTTGGAGAGTGAGAGCTCAGCAGCTATTGTTCCTCATGAGTTGGTCCGAACACGGCAGTTGGAGAGTGTCCATTTGAAATTCAACCAAGAGTCAGGCACACTGTTGCCCCTCTGCTTGCGGTAAAGCACCATTCTTCTTCTCCTACAACCGCTGGGCAAATTAACCCTTTCTGAATGTATGTGAGACCGAAAGGATACCCCAGATATTTATTTTGAACAGGTGTGGCCGAATATAATGGCATGTAGGACCACTAGTTCCTCAGGGGTGAATGAGGAGGTTTTCTGAAAGGCACCCTCAAATATCAGTTGAACTTCCTCCCACATGTACTTTGATATCACTTCAAAGTCTGAAGAAAATAACAAGTTAGCTGCTTTTTAGTGGGCCTAGTGTTATCATAAGTGAGCAGAATGTGAAGCGGCTTAAAGTCGATATTAATGTTACCTGTAACATCAAAGAAGTGACATTCAGGAATTTAGTATTTGTTAACAGTGGACTGTTGGACGTAGACTCTGATCCTCTAGATTTGTCTACATGTTTTGGTGTTTTTACATCTATTTCCTAGCTTTTCTTAAACAGAGAAGTCAACGAAGGTTATTAGTGTACATTGACAGAGCAACTGAATCAGTGCTGTCAACACAGCATGTGGAGCATGTCTGGCTCTCCTTCCTGCTCGCCTACACAGCAAGAAGTGTATCAAACAGCAGGAAGAGGATTTAGGACAAAGATAGTACATTAATACGGATTGGCAGATATAAATTCAATGTTAAAGTTACCTCCATATGTGCATAACAGTCACATGGTCTATAAATCCTTACCATTTCAGCCATCTTACATTGAAGAGAAAAAAATGTTAATCTTAAAATGAGAAAGAGAAGAGAGCCTGCACTTGGTGAAAGGATTCCGTTATTGACAAAAAGAATGCAGCTATTGCCTCTAACGTGAGTTTTGGAATTCACAGTCCAGTAATATCTGGATTTTGTTTACTTTTTACTGGGGATGTAGGTGACATTTATAGGAATGTGTATAACCAAAGAAAATGCCATTTAAGCGGACTATCCGGTCGAAAGTCTCCTTTGTACCATTTCCCTCTAATGCTGAAGTGACAAATGGCAAACTTGCAATAGCAAACAATAAGATTTCTGATATACTCTGTAACGTGTGGAATTTACAATCCGTCTGGATTTTTTTTTTTTTTGTGGGAGGGGGGCATAGGTGACATTTATAGGAATGTGTGTAACCAAACAAAATGCCAACTGAGTGGACTATCCAATAGGAAGTCTCTTTCCCACCAGTTTCAACCTGCTTTATTTTTAAACTCATTTTTAGGAGAGAACAAGCTTAGAGTTACTGTACAGAGAGAGCTCTGTGTAAAAGGAGGAGAAATGTGTTGAGAACACAGTGTTATGTCCCAGTTATGTGATACCGCAATGAAGGGCGATTATGTCATATTTCCTACAAACTGTCCTCTGTGATATTAATGAAACAAATCTTTTGGATCTTTTTTCTATTCCTCCCATTGAAAACTGCAGAACATAGTGTTTCTCTTAATTTAAATTCATTTAAATAATTAACTGACTTTAAATGTTTACGGTTATTTCTCTGAATTAGAAAGCACTCAACTCCTCAGCATCGACTAACAGATTTAGTTTAATTCTCGTGGTTATTTCAAGCATTTTGACCTTGATTTATTATCTTCAACAGGTCAGTTCTTTAAGGCTTCCTCTGATGCAAAATGGCAAACTGCCTTTCCTCAGTCACCACAAAAAAATTGTTCAGAAGATAAAAGGTTAAAGCTTATAAATTTTAAACGCTTACTAGCAATTTCTTTATGACATAAGAAATCTTGTTTTATGGCAAACATAAATGAAAACAAACACAACTTATGAGTGTAATCATGTGGTCAGTTCATAATGGATTGTGTTTGATCTTTTACAGGGGGCGTTTGCTCCATGGGAGACACTTCACATATAAAAGTATCAACGGCGACACGGCCATCACTTTTGTGTCTACAGGAGTTGAAGGTGCTTTTGCTACTGAAGAGCATCCCTATGCAGCCCATGGCCCCTGGCTTCAGGTACCCACACGGAAACTCTGACCTCTGGCTGTTGCGTTCCTGTTTAATGAGTTCATTTTGTAAATTCTGTTCTCCTTTCATAGATTTTGTTGACTGAAGAGTTTGTGGAGCAGATGCTCGGGGATTTACAGGAACTCAACACTCGTGATGAGGCAAGCAAAAACCTCTTGCAGGTTACCTTTTACTTTCAGTTTTAGGCACTGTGACTACATGCCTGGTATACCTTGCATGTGTTTTCTCTTTCTGCAGACAAAGTTGCCAAAGGAGTACAGCTGGCCAGAAAAGAAGCTAAAAATCTCTGTTCTACCAGACTCTGTGTTTGATAATCCACTCCAGTGAGACTGACACAGAGACACTTGCTCTTTTGAAAATGCCAAGAAAAAGACGTGTAAACATTTCCAGAGTGGACCATCAGAAACAGCAGACCTCACTGGACTCTGAGAGGCTGTCAGAGCTTATAGATACGTTGTTCCCACTGTGGCTGGCCTCAACTGTTTCACTCAAAAAGATAATCTGAGGGATGAACTAAACATTTCTGACTGTTACCGCATTCTCAGACTAGCACCATTGTTTACAATATCTGTATGAGGCTTTTGAGACTATCAGACCAGCCAGTCCAGATGGTTGGCTTGTTAGAACAATCCTGTTGGTCAAACTGGATGCTGTCAGTCCTCCAGGTAGTTCAAAATATACATCACTAATGTAGTTGAGCATACATCCTGTGATCTCCTGACATGCTGTCTAAAGCAATAACTGAGCAGCAGTTCTCAAAAACACTTCTATTTATTCCGGTGGCCTTCGAAAGGGAAGAAGAATAACCAGTTTAAACATTTTTTATCAGTGTTGTTTTTAAACTGAGCTGATATGTATAGTATTTACAAATGCTGGACATTTTTCTCTGATATGTTTGCGGTCACGCCAAAGTTTTAACCATTTCTGTCTCAAATGTTTCATGTTTCGGGAACACTAGTCTGACAGTTAATCATTGTCTCATAGCCTGTTATTAACTGTCACTTTTTAAGTACCTGGCAAATGCTGCAGGTATAACCACCTCGATCACTCCTCTGTGCCAAGATTATAACTCCAGTAATGAGTTAGGTTTTCTCACACAACACCCATGTGTAGTGTCACTGTTGTAGATGTTAATAGACTGTAATCTGTGATCATGGCCTCCTCAAGTGCAGTTTCCAGTGCCTACATATATGTAACATATGATTTGGATCAGTGGACCTGTTTAAAAATGAGTAAACCTCCACAGTGCCTTTCCCTCCAGCCGAAGGGGGGAAAAAATCCCAACATATTTTCCGTGATTGTCAATGCAGCCTGAAGCTCCTGGATTGTTTGGACACATCATTTTGAATCGAGCCTGCTGCATTCACTCCCTTTTTCTGATACTGTTATTTCACTCCATATTCATGCCAAAAAAAGAAGACTACTTTTACTACAGCATTTTCCTACAGAAATGTACTCATAAAACATGATGTTACCGGTTTCTTTTTCTTTTTTTATTCAGAATGACAAATAAAATTTTGATATTTTTTTTTGTACTGAATTTTTTAAGCACTATCTTATTGACTGAACTGGCTGATTGTAATCCCAAGTGCATTAAAGTGTGTATGTATGTATGTATTTACACAAATAAAGCTGGAACACTAATTCAGAAGTACTGTGGAACATTATTTTTGAATTTTTATTTATTATTTTTTTCTATTTTATTGTGATTTCCTGTAACGTGCAAAACAGCAGTATTACACTTTTTCTGAAAGTAATTAAGTAGATTTATTATTTATGGCTATGTCTAGGTTTCGATTTTCAAACTTTCAGACTCCCAGAAGAGTAAAAAGCTCTGGTGGTCTACTTCAGGTGTGTCAAACGTGGATTGGTGGCACGGTGGTTAGCACTGTTGCCTAATTGGACAGACTGGACTCTTTGGAGTTCTGATCTGGCCCCTGAGTTCAATTCTTTCTGTGTGGAGTTTGCATGTTCTCCCTGTGTTTGCGTGGGTTCTCTCCGGGTACTCCGGCTTCCTCCCACCGTCCAAAGACATGCAGCTTGTGGGGATAGGTTAATTGGATAATCCAAATTGCCACTAGGTGTGAATGTGCGAGTGAATGTGAGTGTGAATGGTTGTCTGTCCCTGTGTGTTAGCCCTGCGACAGACTGGCGACCTGTCCAGGGTGTACCCCGCCTTTCGCCCTATGACAGCTGGGATAGGCTCCAGCGACCCTGAAAAGGATAAGCGGAAGCGAATGGATGGATGGATGGATAGTCGGGCTGGGATTCTTACTTCCAAATAAGCTTTACAGTCTGATGTTATTAAAATATACTTTTAAATAGATTGTTAATACTTGTGCAAACTCTTCTTAAGAAGTCCAACCTCATTAGTCAACCTAGGGCTGCCTCTGGCCCCCACGCTCACTTCATATTACACTTTTACAGGATGTCTGCGTCACTGCATAGTTTTAACACTCATCACTGTACATTTCACAACGCTATGTAAGAAAAAAAAAGACTAAAATTGATTTATTTATTTATTTTTTACCTAAAAAGAGTGACTAATTTGAAATCTACTCCACATTACCTTCCCATGTTTTCCACTCTTTTCCTCCCCACATGCACCAACCCTGTCACGGGCCCCTGGGGCTGGGGGTATCGGGCTCTGCTTTGTCCCAGCCATAGACTCTTCTTCTGCTTCAAAGCATGAAGAGCCACACAAACGCCTCCTGGTCTTTTACAGTCTGTCCGGTAGAGTTTGCTGTGGCCGTTCATTCGCCTTCCTCCTACCGGCTCCTCCCCGCCTGTGTATCAACTCCGTGACGGGTCACGTTATTGGAGGTCGGCAGTCGGTCGGTGTGGAAGCACTGCACTCTCTTCCGACGAGTGACTATCCTGCCTGTACTTACCATAAAATATTACTCAGAAGAGTTGACGGGAAAGCGAAACCAGACGAGAAAACCAGAGGGGGACTCTTATAAAATCCCGGCTTTGAGCGCTGCGACCGACAGAAGGCTGTAATCTGAAGCAAGAGGAGCGAGGATCTCACCGCGGACTGGATGACAAGCTCCACGGTATTATAGGTGCACCGGAGTCTGCCGACGACATGGAAGAGAAATAGTTGGTAACGTTACGCCTTTTCTTTTAAGAATACATCTGTTATGTTTCTGTGGGTTGCTGTAAGAAAAGCCGAGGAGTGCCTTCGCGTAATAAAATGTCAGTGTAACAGTTTATTTGACAAGAGTCACATTTGTTGTTCAGTGTCAAGTTCCCACTCGCTCTCAAAACGCCACAGCTTGTGTCGTCCTGTTCCCCAGCGAAGCCAAACATTACGCTGAAATATGAAGAAATGTAATTTATATATATTTATATATATTTGGTGTTGGGTTTCAGTGTAATGGCACTCTTTTGCTCTGAAAAGCAGGTTGTTACTACTTACTTTAAGCTTCATTTGTTAATTGCTGTGCCACTGTAATGCACTCCTAATAAGCCTGTAACTCAGTGCCCTGTGTGTTGGTTTGGCCTGTTTCCAATCTGTGCCATTTTAGTTGAATATAAGTGCAGTAAAAATTAAACTGTAATAGGCTCATTTTTAAAAAAAAGCAGTGGTTCATTTAAACCAGTTCTTAAGCCTTTCCTTTGTTTTGTTTTGTTTTTCATCAGTTTGGATTCAGCCGAGGTCATGGATGCAAGCTGGAAAAACTGCTTCGAAGAGGAACTTCTGTGTCCCATTTGCCTGAATGTTTTCGACGAGCCCATCCAGCTGCCGTGCAAGCACAACTTCTGCAAGGGTTGCATCTCTGAGGCTTGGGCCAAAGACACCGCCGCGGTCCGCTGTCCAGAGTGCAACCATGACTACGACCAGAAGCCCACACTGGAGAAGAACTTCAAGCTCGCCAACATAGTGAAGCGCTTCAATGCTTTGAACACTGAGAAAGCCCCCCCTGTGCTGCACTGTGTCCTCTGCAGACGAGGGCCCCCGCTGCCCGTGCGGAAAGTCTGTCTGCGTTGTAAGGAGCCCTGCTGCCAAACTCACATCCAGACGCACCTACAGCAGCCGTGTGCGGCGCCGGGACACCTGTTAGTCGATGCTGAGGAGCTGAGCGCTTGGACCTGTCCCAGTCACGAGGAGTACAGGCTGCTCCACTGTGAGGAAGAGCAGGTGGCTCTGTGTCCGTTCTGCTGCATCTCTCACTGCACTAACCAAAGACACACAGTCTGCGATGTTGATACGCAACGCATACAAATGCAGGTACAAATGCGCACACACACACACATACACACACACTCTCCTACAGGGCAATGAAAAGATTTCATTTGGTGCACACAATTCATGGGTAATTCTTTCAGTTCGCTAGTCTATAAAGGCCTTCTCTCTTTCCCTCCTCTTTAATCTGATGTAAAAGGACTGGACAGGTGAAAGCCACCCCTCTGGGTACATGGATAGCACACAAACACACATATATAGGCATACTTCACACACACACACACACACACGCTGCTTTTAACCTTGATCATACCACCCACTCTTTACCGCCACGCCTTCCCATTAGCAGCGCTGTGCCCTTCGGATAAGTGCTGTGATGCAATCTGCATCCACCGGAAACGATGACCTATGTGCGGTGAGGGGCGGAAACGCGTGTAGTTTGTTTATGTTAGCTGATCAGTTTCAGGGTTCCAGGGTTGGAATGCTATTTTAGGGACATTTAGCAGGGAGGAAGAGGTGGAAATGAATTGAGAGTAAGAGCAAAATAGATCCTAATTTGGTTACGAATTGGCAACAATTAAATAATGAGTGTGTCTTGGCAGCCTTGACCTCAGGATGTGTAAAGAAACGAGGGCCAGCATGCCATGGCTGCCACCGCCATGTGGGGTTTTCCTCACTTTATTTCTGTTTCTTTGCTTTTCTCAAGACTAACGCAAGTAGCAAGGTGTAAAAACAGCCACCCACACCTTAAACACATTCCTTCCCTTCTCCTCCCTATCTATGGAAGCAATCAGAAGCAGATTTGTTTTACAGTTTGCCCTCTCGTCGTCTTTTTGATACTATTTAGTGAAGGCATTATTCCACTTGGGGAAAGTTACACATATTTCTTTCCAGGGTAAGTTCTAAATCAGTTGACCCTGGTTCAGAGCTATTATTGGGACAAAAGATGTCTGTTCAGCCCTTTCCACAGCTGCTCTCTGTGCACACTCATATGCACACACCCAGCCATCTTTCTGTTCTTTCACAACTGTATTTTCACAGAGCATATTGCACTGTGGAGTCACACTGTCCATCCCTGGACCTTCAGGCATATAATACACAGTGATTTATTGAGAAAAAAAAGTGTTAATAGCAAAAACTGTTGTGCTCCTTGTGTGCTGGGTCATTTGTTAAAGTAATACGAGACCACAGTGTCTTCTCGTCATTATTTGCTGAGAGGTCGTTCTCCTTCGCAGAGCTGTGGTCTATTTTGGTCTTAAATTCCCCGGGCAGCACTCTTGTTGCTTTTGGGATAAACAAAGACACAAAACCGACGTAGCAATGTTTGTATCTTTTAGTTATCTTTGGCTCTCAAAGGAGACTTTTACATTAACCTTTTGCAGACATGCTGGTAATTTCGAGATGAGAAAAGAAGCGTAATATAATAGTAATGTTCTCCCTGGGACAAGCGGAGGAGGAGCCCTCCCACACAACCTCACCTTGGCTTTCTCAGGCACCTCAGCAGGAAACCGTCGCTCATGGAAGCTCTGCTGTTTGAAGCTTCGTGTATCTGGGCTGGAGTGAGTCAGATACCCAGAATGCTGAGGGCAGGCCACTGACATCAGAAGTAGGGAATAGTTGTCAGTTGATTGTGAAAGAGGCTCTCTGTTCATTGAGCCTGAGGCTCCTCATTTAAACATGAGCTTCCTGGCAACCTGTGGGTGTCTGGATGCCTAAATAGGACAGTGGGGAAAGTGATCATTGGCGGGCTTAAGCTTGATAAAGGTAGGCTTTCATGCTGCTACACTGCCCCAGCCCCTCTGTGCTATTTCAAACACACAAGACAAAAAAAAGGAATTGGAGGAAACACGATAAAAAGAGGAAGACAGAGTTGCTGAGCAGAAGCATCAAGACACAGAAAAGCTGCTGCTATAATGTGAAGCCAGCTCACATAAAGCAGCTCACGCACCATTTACGATACTAATAACCCAACAAAGTGCTCTTTCCTGTTTTGTCAATGCAGCATTCACACTGAGCTCATGTGCGCCGTGTTACCAAAGTGATGAATAATACCAGTGCACCGTCTTAAGTTCAAAGGCACTGAGGAGGCAGGACATGAAAAAGTGAAGGAAAGAAGAAACACAGGCAGCCAACTGACACAAGTCCACCAGTTTGCAGGGTAGTGTCAGCTGTTACGGTTACTATCAGGTTGTTTGAAGAGGAGTGTTTAACTAAACTGCCTCTTGTGTAAGCAAGATGTGGTGTTGAGATGGAGTACAGGTGTAGGATGTGTTACAACTGTGCGAAACAGGATTAAAGACTACGCTGCTGATTTTCAACGTAAAGCGCTGCCAATTACACGAGAAGTGTTCGCGCTCAGTGCTAGCTGCATCTGAGAAAAACACTCAAAACAACATTTCATTAGTGAACATGTAAAATCCACTAACTGAACACATCACAGTGTGCTCGTGGTTTCTATATGTGATCTCATTGTTGGTGCACAAAGCAGAACTTGATATGTTATGGTGAAACCACCAAAAGCTTTAGATAACGACTCTGACAAGTCATTTGGAACACAAGGCATAAATAATGCTTAAACTGTAAAGTCCTTAATAGAAATGTGCCTCAACTTTAATTGGGAGAATTAAGAAGAATAGTCTTCGAGGTGTGTGGTACGGGGCTTGCTGCAGCCCTTGCTGAGCTTATTGTTGTTCTTTCCATGAATGATATGAAAACCTCTGCAAGTGCAGCTGTTAATTACATTCACCCGCATGGCTGTATGATATAGGGCTTACTTCAACAGTTCACTTTATTTCTCCACATACACATGCATACACACTCTATAGGTGTCAGTATAACAGCCCATTAAGCTGTACTCATAAAAATGTATTCTTGATTTCACTTGTGGGACCAATTTTTTAAAAACATAGTCAGCACTGCAGGGTGATGCAGCAGTTAATTCACGAACGAAATGCAGTGTTTTTCCTTCTCAGCACTTAAAGCTTCCCTCATCGATAGTTTTATAGCTACCGTGGATCAGAAACTGTGTAATGTTAGAGATGTCGTTGATAGAAATGACTCCGAAGCTCAAGTGTCAGTGGCAGTTCCCTCAGTTCAGCTGAGCTTTTGAGCATCTTTCAGTTAATTGATCCGGTTTTACTTATTTGGGTCACTCCCATCCACTACTTTTCCAGCTGTAGGAGACAGCTGTAGACAGCTTTGAGAAACCAGCTGTCCACTGCCTGCTCAGCATCAAATAGCAGAGTATCTCAGTCACATTAAAGTTTACAAATGTAGAGACTAGCTAACAGTAACAAGCAGTTAGAAGACAAATAGGGGTTGGAGTACACTAAAAACAGAGCAAAATTGGTGGCTAGTAATATTTTTAAACCTTTATTTAACCAAGAATGAAGTCTCGAGAGTTAGCATGTTTTGGAAGAGTGTCCTGGGCCAGTATAGGCGGCGTTAACTTCGGGTGCAGAGCTAAAGCTCCCAGAGAAAAGCTGCACAAGCACAGGAAGAGCATGTAAACTCCACACACAAGGGCCCTGCCCCAGGTTCAAATCCAGGACCCTCTTGGTTTGAGGCAATAGTGCTAACCACCAGACTACTACGCTGTCCCAAAATGAGTGCCTGGATTTTGTCAGTTTTTGTGGCCAGCCTTAAAATATGCTGAAGCAGTAGAAATACCACTTTTGGGTCTTTCCCATGTCAGTGCATTTACTCTCAGCTGCCCAAAATACATGTCATATAATCCACTCTGCTTCCTTTGAGTGCTAGGGGAGATAAACGTATTCCTGCTGTTTCCTAGGTGGACAAATCAGTAGTCTTCTTCACTCAAAAGAACTGTTCTGATAACAAGCATAAGTGAGTTATTATGGTACATTTGGCTACTATTTTATGCCATTTAGAGTCTTTCTTTGTTGTTTTGTTGAAACTATATACACTGTTGAAAGTGTTCACTGTGGTAAACTATAGTGGCCAGCCTGTGGATGTCCATTAGACAGCACAACGTGAGTGTTGCAAGCAGCTGAAGAGGCCTGTTGCTGTGATACCACAATGTGACTACCCTGAGACTCACTCACTCGAGACCACAGGAATGTCCTCATTCTCCCTATCTCTCTCTCTTTTGGGCGAAACTTTTTTTTCTCCTTTTTCTTTTGGTTTCGCTCTCTTTTTGTATGTCTTTCTCACTCTCTTTCTATCCGTTCTTGGCATGTGCAAGCATCGCCTTTCCTCTCGTCCCCTTTCTCGGGTGCATGCTCATTGGGAGGGAGGGAGGAGACCTCGGCGCTGTGCACACAGACATGACAATCTGTCACTGACACACAGGCCAATGCAAACAATGGGAGCAATGCATGTGGCAAAATGAGAAAGTGCAGGGGGGGTAGTGAGGCACCCCCGCTCCCTACATACACATGAGATTTCACATATGACTACATACACAAGACTTTGTTGCCATGACAGCAGGTTTTCTCTTATTTGGGCACGCTGCCTTTCCAATGCAGAAACAGTTCATTAAAAAGTCTACCTGCCCTCCCCTGTTTCTAGTTAGTTGTCAGTCTGTGACAGCAGATTGATTCCCAGCCTCTGCAGTAAATGGGGAAGGATTATGTTCAGTGGATTTTTTTTTAACTGGCTCTTGGCTCTTGTGTACCCACAGAGGAAGTAAGCTTGTCCCAACAATGGAGCTCATTTGACACAGCAGGGTCAGCGTTAAACTTTGGAGCAGTCAGAGAATGATTTGTGCAGCCATGTTTGCCTTTGCTCTCCGAATGCCTAAATGCATGTTCATGTCGCTGGCAGCTGACTGTGGAGAAAGTTGTCTCGATGCCTCGTGAAAAGCAGCTAGGTATGCTGCGGTCACAGCCGAGGCCCAGGTTTTTCAGAGTTTCTAAATGTATGGGTATCTTTGTTTTTAATTTTCAGGGCATCTTGTTGTGGTTCGCCTATCTAATCCATCCTATCTGTCATTCCTCCACAGGCCATGCTAATGAGGCAGCAAGACAGACTGGAAGGTCGTGTTCAGAACATCGATGAGCACCTCAACAAGCTGGAGTCAGACAAGACACTGATGAAGGTGCATTTTCAATTCCGAATGTTATGTGAATGTTATCAGCATGGGGGTTTGTGCTATAATTTTGTCTGCTGTAATGAAATTACTCTACCGTTTCTCACTCTTGGGAAATCAAAGGTAAATGTAACTTTAACTATGACTGGCAGGTGCAGCAAAGTGAAAATGGATTTAACAAACGACTTTCCCACTTTCATATTGAACAAGAAAAAGCATAGATTCCATAAAATTGTGTGTCTGTTAATAAAAATTGTAGTATCTGTTTGTTAACATCAGTACTTTTAGTCATTTAAAAATGCATTTCTGCGTGTAAACGTGCATACTTGTGTATCCTGTGACCACAGGATGCAGTGTCTGAACTGAAAGAGCGTGCAAGAGCCCAGTATCAGCGGATGCATGCGCTGCTAGAAGCAAACCAGGCTGAAACCATGCAGATGCTGGAGAGCACCTACAACTCGTACGTGAGGAAGAACTCCCAGCAGGTGCTGCAGCTCAACGAGAGGCGCCACGAAGCAGAAAAACTCCTGAGCTCAGTGCAAACATTCTTCCAAAAAGCAGGCAGTTTGAATTTCATGAAGGTACAACAAATCTGCAAATTGTTTTTTCTATTTATCGAACATGAACCTTTATCTCTATGACCCCTTTTCACAGTTCTTGCATCTGCATCAGACAGTGATACTTTTGAGGGATATAAAATGATGTTGTGATATGAAAGCATGCGCAGTAAACCCTGATGCATCTTATAATAACTGTTAGTGAGACAATTGAAGGTGTGTGGGAATGACCCGTGAAACTTTTGTTTTTTCGTTTCAGAATACAAAACCTTATCAGCTCCTCATGGACAGGTAAGAAGTTATTCTAAGATATTCATTTCTTTGGACTAACTCAGTGATGTTTTCATGCAAGCTTTTTAGTGCACTGATCATCATCTTTATTCATTGTGAGAAAAACAGCCAAACTATCAAATATGTCCTTGTACAACATTCAACTGTTGCGTTGTTTTCAGTGGAATTAGCTAAATGTAGCTTTAGCGGGTGTACTGGTAATAAAAGCAGGCAAAAAACAACAACAACTCCAACAGAGGTCAAGCAAGCGAAATATAAGCAAAGGTCAGAGAAAACAGCAGTAGAACAGATAAACCCATGTGTTTCCCCTATGATGTATAAATGGAAAATACTCTGTGATGAATTATTTCAAAAACCTGATCATAAGCAGGAGGGGTTGTCTCCTTGCCACATGTTATTTGCTTGTTTAATGGTGGGACTGGGTGAGCCTCACAGTTTTCTAACATGCTGCAGTGATTTTAACTATTCATTTGTCACTCCTGGCCTCAACAACTTTTTTTTAGCACTATGCATAGTGTTTTTAGCACGTTAAACTTTGACCCTGCACACTACAGCCAATGGATCTACAGTCCCCTGGACAGCATGATTTTGGTGTGGATGTCCAGTCTGAGGTGGATGGGTTCACCTCAGACGTTCACTTGGCTGCAAAGTTTTTCCCGATAGTCTTCTTTCTGCCATATGGTGACATTTATCTTTGGCTGTCGGGGACTTTCAGTATATACTCTTATTCACAACAATTTAGGCCTCATCTTACATCTTCCTAATATGCTAATATTAGCCTAACCATAGCGCTGTAGCTAGCTACCTCATGGCTAGCTACAGGTAGCAGGTCAATTGATGGTTTATTCATGTATAGGTTTATTTATGTAAATCACAACAACAGTTGTCTCAAGAAAGTATTCAACAATGAAGGAACCCCCTATTAGTAAGCACTTTGCAACAGTAAGAAGGAAAAACTTCCTTTTAATAGGAAGAAACTTTAGGCAGAACCAGGCTAAGGGAGGGGCAGCCATCTGCTACAAGTGGTTACAACTAAACATTCAAACATCCGTTATTAAGTTTGCAGTTTGTATTATGTCAAGAGGTATAGCATGGCTGTACTTTTTTTTTCGTACTTCAGTAAAAACATGTTATCTCATTTGTAGGTGTCAGCTAGTTCACATCTAAAGCTGCATCTACACAGGAAGTGATTAGCACTTAAAGCTGATGGTTGATTGCTAGCAGACATGCCAGGTTCCGGTTGCATAGCTAACCGGCTGATGTATTTACTGAGCTCTCACATGTCAATAACCACCATTCTGTGCAGTAATTGGTAGTGACCTCCCCTCAAAGTAGAAAATTGTTTTATCTTGACTTAACATCACCAGTGGTTAGTCAGGTGAAGTTGACGAACTTTCTAAGGTCTGTGCTCAACATGTCGATTCGCAAATCTTGTGTTGAGGCAGATTAGCTTCTAACTCTGCTAGACCTTATTACTGGGAGAAAAGTCACACTAGTCATTTTATTGTTGAAAGAAGTTGGACTATTTTTAACTTAAGCATTTCAACATGTTATCGTTAGGGGTGAGTCAGTGCTTGTTTGCTTTTGGGAACTGATGGAGCATTTAGACTTGAAAGTCACTGGTTTTCAGACTCAACAAGGGGATATTTCCAAAAAGTTCTTACAATGGCCACTTCAAACTGGGTTTTAAAATGCCCAACCTTTGGCACCAGAACTTTTACAGTCTGTTGTAAAAACAGGTTTGTCTGTTTAGCCAATTTTGTAGCTGTATCAGTTTTAATAATGATTAAACTGGTGCAATGATTACAGTCAAACTTTGCATCCTATTTAATCATGCAGTGAGCTACCAATGGAAATAACCAAGCTAGCTAAGGTAGTGTTGATAACTTCGCAGCACTATCATCTTGTCCAAATTTAATCACAGCCAACTTTAAAAAATAATATTTATATTTTTTAAATCTCAAAGTGCAGAGTGTCTCTAACAATTCGATACTAATGATTTTACTGTTGTGTTTCTTTTTACAGGTCAAACTCACATCTGAATAGCATTATCCCTCCAGTCAGAGTGGGCCAGCTCCACTCTCATCATTTGCTGTCCGACCTGTCAACAAAAGAGAAGAACTTGCGAAAAATGCTGGAGGGTAGGATTAAATTACAGAAAAATAACTATAGATGAGTTTTTCAGAGATGTATTATCATTAGAATTAGCACTCATCTCTCTGTCCTACCTCTACTTGTCATTCTCAGAACCGTTCAATGAGTCGCCTCTTCTGGAGATTGTGCAGTCTCACAGCAGCTCTGCTAGCTCCCAGTTGGGGACTAGTTCAGGAATACAGAAGAGGAAATACAGCATGGCGTTCCTGGAGGCTAACCCAGAAAACTCCCAGAATCCTCCACCTTTGCTCTACAGCAGCAAAAAACCCTTCCTGGCCAACCAAGGTCACCGGGCATCATCTGTATATGCCTCTGAAGTCCTCTCACAGAATCCTCACACTGGCCCTGGTCATAGTCGGCTCCTAGATACTTCAGCCCATCACATGGTGGGTCTAGGGTCCAGCTCTAGCCACCACTCAGGAACCATATTCCCATCCTCCCACTTCTCAAGTGTTGGTGCCTCACAACAAGCCATGTACGAAGGGAGGAAAGTACTGATGTGTACTTGCTGCTCCAGGGCCCCTGCTGCTTGCGCCCGGCCTCCGTACCCAGCGTCGGACACCTTCCCCTCTGTGACCTCTCAGGAGTTTGCCCCACATGCCCCTCTACCTGCAAGTCAGCCACTGCAGCATTTTCCCATGAGGGGACTGATGGAAACATCGCAGACAGCCAGACATGCTGAATTCTATGGGCTGTACGGCCAGTCTTCAACCAAGCATTACGGGACCAAATAATAAACCCGAATCAGCATCCGTTCTGTTTTATTAGATCACGTTTGGCATCAAGAAGTTCCATGTTTGCTTTTTTTTTCTCCTTTCCATTTTGATTCAGAGACGCAACCCCAGATTATATCTCCACACACCTTTATGACAATCACTCTTGACATTTATTTGAAACCATTTGGGGAGAACATGCCCTGTTAACTTGTGTAGCTCTGTTTACTCCCCGAATCACAGTGACAGTACTAATGATCTAATTTGAAAGCATTATTTATTGTCTGTTTCAGTTCGACTGGAAGTGCTAATGTGAATAATGTAGTCTTAAATCCATTCAAACTTAAGAAATGACATATTCTTCAGGGGTCCTGGCATGGGACTCCAGAGACTCCAGTGCCTAAAGAGACTGTTAACACACTTGTATTGTACTTGCAATTTCCTAACTCTTGATTAATTCCTGTTTGCAGCTGAAATCATGCAGGGAGCCTCTCCATGCACTCCAAAGTCCATGTGGCTTTAGAAAAAAACAAAAAAACAACAACACTGGACTGCAAATGTTTTGTTTTTTTCCAGATTCAGGTTTTTCCATTAGTTGTTTTTTTTTTTATAGAAGATTATGAATAAACCAAAATCTTTTGAATAAATAAAAAAGCATATTACATGACCTTTCATTGTATTTTGAGCACTGGTTTTCAAAAGTAATCCGCTGGGTATGCTAGTGTGTACTTTAAATCAGGTGACGCGCTGGTTATTTTAAACGCCGTGTCTGATTATAGTTTGAGGTCTATTTGTCCTAAGAAGCAAATTGTGCGATTTGTTTGGGTAAAGAGCTTTTCCAGGGTGACTCACTGAGTTACACATGAAAACAAAAAATAAAGAGAAGGTGTTACAGTGGTACATCCGACCCTGCTGCTGACCAGCAAAGCTTGTAAAACAGAGAGAGGAAAAAAAGACACTGAAAGGCGGAGGAGGTTACAGAGCGGCCCACAGCAGGCCCATTATCTGCCAATTTAGGACAGTTCACTTCCTTGTCAGCATCCTGGTCTCTGGCAAAAATCTCTGTGTCATCCCTCTTTGTCTTGTTATTGGAGCTGGTTGTCAAGTTAGGTCAGAGAACAGGAATAACCAATGAGCAGCACCTTCCCTCTCCTCTCTCCCTTCCTCTATCATTTTCCAGAGCTCGATGCAGAGGAGGAGAGGAGGGTTAGAGCGGAGGATGATATAAGCGCAGAGTTTTAATGAGGATCCACTTATCTGTCACTCATACTCCTTTCATTGTTCCCCTCCCCCAGTTAGCGAGATAGCAGGAGCGAGCTTGGGGTGGTGGGGGCAGCAAAGTCAGGGTCGAGGGGGGAGTAGCACATCACTTATTTATAGGTTATAAAACCTTGCTCCCTCCTATATGGTCCAGTCTGCTTTTAGTTTTTTTAGTTGTTGTTTTTTTGTCTTCTTTGAAATCTGTTTCACTTCCATGATAACTCGGCCTCCCTTTAGCAGCAAATGCACGAGGGAGAGGAGTGAGAGGAGCTGAGGTTTAGTTACAGTGTGGCAATCTGACAATGTGCGTATGTGTGTGTTTGTGTGTAAGCCAATTAGCATTCCCCTTGTTCACTGTCCCTTCTCGCTGTGTGTGTGTGTGTTATTAATAAAACATACAGCAGATGTTCCAAAGGAGCATTTTATCCATATGATCATTTTTATTTATAGAGCCCTATTAAATCAACGATCCATTCTATAGAGCGGAGTTTGCATGTGCTGTTTTTCTTTTTTTGTTAGGTCTCATAAAAGAATTGGAAATTTTGTTGAATCTTTCTCTCGTGCATTGTGTTGCCCTGTCCTAACTACAGGCACAAACACGGGGCTGGACGAAAAGCCTCTATGGTATGCTTGTTCTTGGTTTGCGTTGCCTTGTGTGCGGGCTCTGTGCAGACGAGTTGAATCCTGTTTTATAAGTGAATGTGTGCTCAGGTGTCGCCACACAATCAGGCGGTTAGTGCGTTGCATCGTATATGTGCATAATTAGGCTTGTGTGAGAGCTCCGCGAGGTCACGTATAGGGTAAAGGCTGATGCGCTGACAGCTGTGCTCTGTTGTGGCAGGTGTGTCGGGGCTGTATATGTATGAGAACAACACGCCCGTGCCTGCAGCAGGACATGAGCCTGCAGTACGTGTGCTCAGTGTGCAGGAAACTGTGCAGCTGTTGTTTGTATGCTTTTGCCAGTGACTAGAGATATTGGAGTCAAGGTAGGAACTGTTTCTCTCTTTTTCTCCCCTGACATTTATTACTAATTGTGATCTTCAGGGTCTGTTTACCTATGATATGATCTTGATACTCTGACAAATGTTTGCAACCTCTAATGCCAGTAATAACTGCAATATTTGCATCACAGCCCGAGCTGAAAGTGAGACAGTGATTTGGAAAGTATTCAGGCACCCTTTTCTGTGTCAAGCCACACTAAACCACACGTTTCAGAGTGGTTAGTGAATGTATTACTGACTAAAAATCATTCATATAAGTAGTGTTCAGTTCTTTATACTTTTTACTTGTCCTTTGGCAATAATTGGAGCTTCTAGGCTACAATCTTTGCACACCTGGCTTAAGATAGTTTATTTTATTCTCTGTGACAGCTCTGTCAAAGTGGATAACAAACGTGTACAAACTGACAAGTTCAGATCTTGCCAAAGATGTTTTAAACGGTTTAATTCTGCTCCACTAGTTACAGTCTGAGACTTGTTTCGAAACCACTTTTCTTTTGGGTGTAATACAGATGTCAGCTTAAGGGATGCCGAAGTGACCTCTGTGATGACGAGTCAAAGAAATCTACAACCTCCCCAGTTTGTCTGGTAAGAGCAAGAGGATTGTGATGACAATAAATCCATGTCAGTAAACATATATCTGTTGATCATTCATTTATTAGAAGGAGGTACTCTTCCATGAATGTGCATACATAACTTAGTGTTTGTGTGTGTGTGTGTGTGGTTTCTGACCCACCCAGGACCAGAGAGAGTCTTTGCTGAGCTTCACAGATACTCCCACTGTAATCCAGAAACACCAGTATAACTGTCCCGAGAAAAGGAAATAGCACAGCAGTTCAGTCATCCCCAGAATGGCTGACCTTCCTCCCCTTGGCTTAAGACTTCCTTGTATTCCCAGCATTTTATTATATGTTTGGGGCTATTCCTCATCATCGATTGGGAGCAGTACAGAGAATAGATGGGGGGATGGATGACCTTTTGAACACTGGGTGACTGTTGTCATGAAAGGCGACTCCCACTCTCCCAAAGCCGATGCACTCTGGCGATGGTATCTTGCAAGACCTACATGCATTTAGCCAGAATCCTTTTCCTCATCCTTCCTGTCGGGCTTTCTGACCCCAGCTGCAAAGAAGACCATCCAACAGCAGTGCCTGTGTCCCACAAACACAATTCTACATGTTTGCTGAGTTTTTATTTTCAGACATCCTTTACATGTGATTTGAGACACATGAAGCAGACTGTTATGTGTCTTTTACTCAGAACTGCTCGCGTCTGGTGGCGGTCAAACTTCCTGCAGGTTCTCTGATCTCTACAGAAAACATCTGAAGTCTTCTTGCAATAAATGCTGAATTCTTGGTCACATACCAGACCAATTAAATATTTACTCAGACATCCTACTTAGTCTGGCTGACTCTAAGAAGAGCCCTGGTCATTCCGTTACTTGGGTGTTTCTCCTAATAACCACTCAAACCGTTATAAATGGATTTAGAACCAGCACCTCAATGCAGTTTCCAGTCATAATGGCTGCTATTGTCTTGCTGTGCAGTGTGAATTGTAGAAGCTTTATATACACAGGTGTGTGTCTTTCTAAACTATGGCTAATCAGTTTGCCAGTTTGCCACAGGTGGACTCCAGCAGAGCTCAAGCACAGTTAAAGTAAACAGGATGCACCTGACCACAATTTGGATTTCCACACAAAGGGTGCAATGACGTTCGTAAAGGAGAAAATGTTCTAAAATGATTTTACGTTATGTTCACAGTGAACACAATGGAGTGTGCAACAGCTGAACAGATCTAGTGAATTTTTTCAGCTGGGTACGGTTTGACTTCCTCTGTTACTCAGACCTTTGATTAGTATTATTGACATAGTCAGAAATGCATTTGCACAGCTTCCAGCTTGTGTAACCGCCCTGCCTGTTCCAGTTCAGCGGTGGATATTAGAGGTGGCTGACATGGATGCATTATGTACTAACTTACAGTATGGCAGAAATGCATTTGTCACACAAAGCTTTAACAGTCCTTCCATTAACACTGACAGGAACATGAACATGCCCAGCTGAATGCATACGGAGCGGCCATTCATCAACCAAGCAGAATTCTAACCTTCATCTGATAAGACCTTTGAAATCTGTGCCAAAACTCTAATCCAGGATAGTAGTGCACACACACACACACACACACACACACACACACACACACACACACACACACACAGCACAAACATCAAAGACAAAAATCTGTAGCCAATGTTTATTGATCTGCAGGTCTATTTTTGCTCGGGGAAATCATTCTAACATAAACCAGCCCTCTGTCAAATTTGAGCTGCAGGGAAACAGGCAACATTCATGCAATGCATGTTAGAGTGAAGCAGTGAAAATAAGCAAAGGAAGATGTGTAAATGCAGGTAAGCAGAATCAGTGGATGTGCATATATGTGTGTATATTTGTGTTTTTGGCTGTGTATATATGAAGACATGTGAGATCAGTGCTTTTGAACGTGTCAGAGATCTTTCACGGAGACAAGCTGGATTAATTAGAGACAGTACAAAGTGATGTCAGTCGTTGCCATAGGAACTTTGTGCTACACTAGTGACACACTCAAGTGTCAGAGGTGCAAACTATTAAAGTGTCTTTACTTTTGTACTCTTGGAGTGAACCATTGCGGGGGGGTTAAAGGTTGGTTTGGAAATGATCAAAATAAGAACTGTACTGAAATTTTACTTGAATGAAAACCTTTTTAAAGTCAAACTTGAACATCATTGTTGCAAATGGCAGCATTAAATGTGAGCTTTGTGGATTTCACTTTCAATTTGAGTTTCAGCCAAGTATTTACCAAACAAGCATCAGTTGCACTTTACCGTACATGCTGGTTTCTCAGGAAGACATGCAGTTACCTACTACTTCGTTAGCTATACCTCGCTAGTGACGTCTTGCTCCCCTTTTAATAGACAACACATATGAGAGGTGCTTATTGGATGGAGATCTGGTTACAGTGGAGGCAATTTTAGTGAACTCACTGTCATGTTCAAGGAGCCACTTGAGATGATTTAAGCTTTGTCACATGGTGTATTACCTAACTGGAAGCAGCCATCAGAAGATCGATACAGTGTGGTCATAAAAGGGTGGATGCACTGGCAGCAGTAATGCTCAGGTTGGCTGTGGTGTTTAAATTAAGCTCAGTTGTGTGCCCAGAAGACATCCATCACACCATTACACCATGAGCCTTAACCACTGAAGGCAGGATGGATCTGTGCTTTCATGTTGTTTATACCAGATTCTGAACCTATCCTGTGAATATTGCAGCTGAAACCTTGAATCTTGTTCCTGGCTAACAGGAGAAGCACCCAGTGTGGTCTTCTGCTGCTGCTTCACTGATGTTCATCTGCACAGCGTGATTGTAACAAGTGGTTATTTGAATTACAGTTGCCTTCCTATCAACTCAAACCAGTCTGGCCATTCTCCTCTCACCTCTGACATCAACAAGGCATTTCCCCCCAGAGAATCTTACTATATATCCATTTTTATTTGACAGTGAAATATACTTTAGCTATGTTTTATGTTTTAAGCTATGATCTATGCATATATAACACAACATATGATAAATATATTATATATAATACAGAAAAAACAGAAAAACTCATAAATATAAGAAACTTGATACAGTTTCTGATTTAAATATTTATTCATTATTAGTGTTTGTTTTACAGGAGAATATATTTTAGATAGGATTAGGCTACAGATGTTAGTCATTAATGCCATGTTTACATAGTTCTCACTACAGTGGTTTTGGAAAACAAGCCAAACTGTTTAGCCCTCCTTGGCCTGTTGCTTTGTGTCCTGATTCACAACCCCAAAAAATAATTAACATTTTCTGATAGCATATGGTTCAGAGTAGGCCTGGGTTATCATCATAGATGAATGAGCCTTCGTAGGGTTAATAATCGTCCAGTTCATGCAGGATCGGGTCAGAGAAATGGTGAACAGCTGTGGGCTGACAAATGACACTTCCTTCATTACCAGCACAGCTGAACTTTGACCTCTCCGGTCGATGCATGTCAGACATGGTTTGTCCAGGACCTCCAAGTTCAGCAGGGTCTAGAGCTACGATCCAAACTGCACGTTTGCAGGATGTAGTCATATTTTAAAGAGTCCTGTTCTGGCAGTGAAGACTGATGCTATGTTGTGTGATCTCTTCATATGCCAGTGGTTCTCAGATGTGTTTTGCATGCCCATTTTCATTTGCAGAAAAAAGCTAATAATGCCAAAATAATTAATGTTAAATTTTAGCGAAGTAAATGTCATCACAATAACATTTTTGTCCTTTTTTCTTTTTAAATTTGCCCTATAAAAATCCTTTTCATTAAACTTAGTCAAATTACATATTTAACCTGCTCAGTCCCAACACGTATCAGTGCCTCTTTTCCCCACCCGTGAGGCCCAGCATCATCCACCAGCAGCTTTCTGTTTCGTTAGCTTTCAATGAGCTAATGAAAGAAATTAGTGACTCAGTATCAGTCATTTCTATGGTGAGCTAAGCTTTGGCAAAGATCAAGCTGGATGCTTTCTCCATTGTACTTCATGGTACTTTCCACTCACTGGTGACTAACAATGAATAAAATCACAAATCAACCATGTGGCTTACACATTTACCTGGGAGGAGACAGAAAATCCTCTGGATTTACATCAGGAAGAGCATCTGGCATAAAAAAGAAATCTGTCAAACTAAACATGCAGAGCTACTTGGTGTGGCAACACGGGTGTGGTGATCCCTTGTGAAAGTGTTTCAGTGAAAAAAAATGATGATATACTTCCACTGTCCCTCAAATGTCTGTGACGGTAAGGAGGGTTTCAGCAGTAGATTTGGCCTCCCTGTGTTAGTCAGTATATTGTCACAGACCCAAGCGCTGCTCTGGACACAGCTGTAACCTCTACTTGAAAGTGAGCGTTTAATGCCCCACGCAGATGCTGGACCATAAAACCCTGATAAGCAATAAAAGTGCTGCAAAGGTTCACAAAACTCCCACTCAGCACCGACCAGTTGGATGTGGTTTATGAGTCAGAAAATAAGAAGCAGCACCACCTGCTCCGAGTGAAGGTGACATTAACTAGTTGGAAGACTGTTACACGCTGATTTGCTGTGTGACGCATCACCGAGGTTTTTAAACTGTAGTGGTGTGGAATCTGGTGAATCTTCCCAAAAGGTGTGACACATACACTCATCCAAAATCCAGAGCAGGTATTGTAACGTCATGTGGGGTTAGTGCATGTGTTGTTTTTTCCCCTCACAGACTAGAGAAAAAGATGGCTTTACTGGTCTGCAGGTAGCAGAAAGCTGCCGTCAAGGGAGCTGCACAGGTGCCCATTTCTCAAGTCACCGTAGTGGCAGCATACAGTAGCTTGTGGTGGCGTTAGCCTTTTTCGGACATCTGGCAGTGCTGCTTGTAAGCAATCGCTCCCTCAGCTTTTCTTCTGTGGGACTGCTGCCCGTCACTGTGAAGAGATGATCAGTATAGATGTCTGTGTTTAAAAGGATTTTACAATTTCCAACTCACTATAAAAAAAATAAGTTGGCAAAACTTTGGAGAGCAGTTTATGTATTTTGCAAGTAACCACTCGGTATGCATGGCTGTGTA